TCGCTTAGGCCCAGGAGGTTCCAGACCAGCCAGGGCAACACAGCAAGACCCTGTCTCAAATAAACAAAACAAGTAATGAACACACAAGCCAGCAGAAAACCCGTATGACTCACAGCAAGGAAGACACGGAGCCACCATCAGTGGAGGATGTAATCGCCTGAAAGCATCTCAAGTGATTCAAAGGAGTAACTGTTACAAAGAAAATACAAATGCTGAAAGAGTCAAACTCCTAGAAACAGGAAGCAGAATGGCGGTTAGCAGGGGCAGCATCGAAGGGGCAGTTCTTCAAGGGATATGGAGTTTCATTTTTCAAGATCTAAAGGTTCTAGAGAGCTATTGCTCAACAATGTGCATCCAGTCCACACTACTGAACTTAGAAATGGTGAAGTCCACTTAGAAATGGTTAAGATGGTAAAAATCTTTATGTGTTTTCTACCACAATAAAAAGAAATGTAAATATCATCAGTACTCCTAATCATACGTAACTTCCAGATAGATTAAAAGAGTTGCTACTGTTTGTAATTGTTCATTTGTAAAATAAACGTTTAGGATTCTGAACACATCCTCTGGAGGCTGGAGAAAAAAATGAAGAAAGAAAGAAAAGCAAGCAAACCAAAAGAATCCAATAAAACTAATGTATTTATTACATATTTGCAATTAATCTTTTTTTTTTTTTTTTTTTTTGTACCAGGGACTGAACCCAGAGGCACTTAACCACTGAGCCACATCCCAGCCCTTTTTAATATTTTTTTTTAGAGACAGGGTCTTGCTGAGTTATTTAAGGCCTCACTAAGTTGCTGAGGCTGTCTTTGAACTCAAGATCCTCCTGCTTCAGACTCCCAAGCCACTGGGATTACAGGCATGAACCACTGCACCCCGCAAAATACTTTAATAAAACTCAGAGTTGACAGTTACCCTCACGTGCACTCAAACACCCTGAAATGTATGCAAACAGATACCACTCGCCAGGCCCCCTGCAGCAGGGCTCATCCCCCAGCATGATCTTTAAGAGGAAGTTAAAGGCTTGTACTGAACCAGGCCCCGGCCTCAATCTTAAAACATGCAAAGCATGCCCTGTCTAGGAAAGGTGGATCTAGTCACCAGTTACTCCGCCACGGGGAAGTGGCCTGCCCAGCACTAGAACCGGTCATCCCTACAATGATGAGTTACCTTAGCAGAGAGATGACACTCATGGAACTAGGAAGGTTGAGTGACAGATAAGAAAGGATGGAGGATAATTTTCAGAGTGACAAAACTGACCAAAAGAAAGGAATCACAGTAACAAAAACAATGCAGCAAGAAAGACGTACAGCCATTGGTGAGGGCAGAATGGCATCCTCACCAGGTGGACGAGGGCAGGACCCAGGCAAATTACCCCAATTCTCAGCAAAGGGAGCAACATTGGGATTCTAGGAGAACAGGCATTTCAAGCAAAAATAAAGTTGATTAGAAGAAAAAAGAATACAGGTAATCATTGTCAGTGAAACAAATTATTACACCAAACTTCAGTGCCAACGAAATCATTTGGCTTCAACTAATGTGAAGTGGTCATTTAATACAGCTTTTGATGGTTTATTTCTGACAAAGAAAGTGGTAGGTGGTAGGTTGGTTGGTTTTGGTGCTGGGAATTGAACCCAGGTCTCGCACATGCTAAGCCAGCACTCTAGCACGGAGCGACACCCTCCAACCCAAAAGTGTTTAAAAAAAAAAAAAAAAGAATGATCATGAAGAAATATAACTCCATAGCAAGTCAGCATGTATTTATGTAAAAAAAAATCATGTTCAAATTTTATTCTCTTCTTAATAAAAAATTGCTACCATTTCTGACATTGATGTTTCTTTTTTTCCCTAAAATATACTGCTATCATTTTACTATCTAAATATTAAGGATACATATTATTGTCCTTTTCCAAGTCATAAATGATGAAAGAGTAAAACCCACAGACAAATTGGGAAAATAAGATCAGTAGCCAAAACAAGCAGCACAGAGGAAGGGCTGCTGGCTACTGGTTTGGAAGCTAAAACATGACAAGAACACGCCCACGACAACACAGGGAGCCACACCTGGAGGTGACTCAGCCTCCGTTCCGAGCCAGTCATCTGACACGCCTCAGAAGCCCAGGGTACAGACTCAGCACCTACCTCAGGTCTGAGGACATGGGGCCTGGGACCTCTAGCAACAAGCAAAAGTAACCTCAGCTTCACCTTGGCCAAACAAGACTGTGCCTTGTCCAGAAGAGGAATATATTTTGCTAGATATCAGAGGCCTCTGCTGTTATGGGTGGTACAATGTCACAATAATCTGGCCTGTTGAGTAAATGATGTGCTCAACCAAAATTAAACTCCCCCAAGTGAATAATTATATAAGAAATGTATGGACACATAACTGCATAACTGAACTTTTGATCTACATACTTTATTAATTAATGTTTTTCAATATCTACAGATACGAGCTTAAAAATAAGATATTTAAGATTCTTAATGTAGCAATTAGCAAACTTATAATTTTAGGCAGAAATTATGCAGAAGACAAATACAAAGGAAGATCACTTTAAGGATTAAATCTATTGAAGGCAGCACTAACAGCTGCGGGGGGGGGGGGGGGGGCTCCCCTGGGGGGGGGGGTTATTTGTACCTCCAGAAAGGGGGGGGGGGGGGGGGGGGGGGGGGGGGTGGGGGGGGGGGGCACTTCCTGAGGTGATGGTAATGTTTAGTACCTACATACAGGGGTGTGGGTTGCGCTGGAGCATCCATTTGTTAAGATCCTGCAGGTCAGACCTCTCTACTTATATGTAGGTAAATTTTACCTTAAAACACAAGTAAAAAAGTGAGGAGTGGGTAGAGGTCAAGCTGGAACAAGGCAGGCAGATTTTTGATGTTGTTGAAGCTGTGTAATGATTACTTCAGGGCTCGTTTTACTATTCTGCTTATTTCATATTTGTTTAAGAGCTTCCATAATCAAAAATTGATTTAAAATGTTTCCAAAGACCACTTAATAAATAGAAAATATTCACAACATGTTTAAAAAAAAAAAAAAAACAGAATAAAAACTACATTCCCAGTATGAATCTAATAATGTAAAGCATACATGTAGCATGTGCACTCAGATATGTGTATGTACATATGTATGAGTATGTGTGTATGTATGTGCGTATATATATATATGGCTGTGCTGGGGATTGAACCCAGGACCTTGTACATGCTAGGCAAGTGCTCCACTACTGAGCTACATCCCCAGTCTGACCCTTTTTAAAAATTTTTTGGAGACAAGGTCTTGCTAAATTGCTGAGACTGACTTCAAACTTGCAATCCTCCAACCACAGCCTCCAGAGAGGCTGAAATTATAGGCATATACTACCATGCCCAGCTACCTTTTTGCTGCCTTTTATCTTTTAAAACCCTTGTGGGATTCTCACCCAGAAGTTAACACCCTCTAAAAATAACTTGCATCTGTTTCTTAAAAAAATCAAACCAGTTCATTTTTAGCTACATTAAGACTTCTGAAATAATAAAGATCCAAATAATAAATGGAGATAAGGGAATCAGTATAAATATTGCATTTGTCAAAAGAATAATAAAAAGTTATACTAGCCTGTAATTCCAGCATCTTGGGAGGCTGAATCAAGAGGATCACAAGTTCAAAGCCAGTCTCAGCAACAGGGAGGTGCTAAGCAACTCAGTGAGACCTTGTCTCTAAATAAAACACACAAAAGTGCTAGGGATATGGCTCAGTGGTTGAGTGCCCCTGAGTTCAATCCTTGGTGTCCCCCCCAAAAAAAAGTAATATGAGGTATGCAATTCAGGTTTTAAGGCCAAAGCTAGGATCTGCAGGAGAGATTGTGCACACACATCCCTCTAGAAGAATTCTGTCCAACAGAACTTGATGGAAACAGAACCGCCATGATGAAGAGGAAGTTGGTGTAGCCCAACACACAGCCACTAACCACATGTGGCTCACGGGACTACAAAAGCGGTTTCTAAGTCAGTTTTAATAGCCATCTGTGGCCAGCTGTCATGTATTCTGGAAAACACAACTGAAGGAAAACACCAGCACCAGACTCGCGGTTCTGCTGAGAGTTTCCCTGCTCCCTCCCCTGGTGCAGTGATGTGCTGGTACCCACATCCTTTCTCCTCTCTCTGTGTATCTACCAGAGCGTAAGGTTAAGAAAGTGCACACCAAGCTTCTTGTACTTGCTCTTGAGAAATACCGCAAATGAAGAGTACCAGCTACTGTGAGATTTTCTGAGCAAAATCACATCATCCATTAAAATACAGCCTAACGTCATTTTCGTTTTTCTTCTACCCGCTTCCTCAGAAATCACTTCTGAGTTTCTGATTTGTGCTTTTGGTCAACTTTCACCTTTTTGTCCTTTTGTTTTTGATCTTATCCTTGTAGAAAAGCAAAAGGGAACAAAGAGAAATTGAAGTAACACAATTTTCTCAACAGAATTACTCGAGCAAGTATACACACACACAAAGTCCAGTCACCCAGAAGCACCAGTGTTACTGGGACTGTGTTTTTACTTATCCTTTCACCTGGGTCCTAGGAAGCTAAAAGGTACGCATGGGGCCAAGAAACTACCTCATACTGGTGTTGAGTCCTTTTTACACCTCATAGCTTCTGAAATACACCTTTTAACTGCCCAGATTAATTCCAAATTTTGAAGACTATAACACTTCTCAAAACTTTTAAAAACACCAACAAAGCAATAAAATAGAATAATAAATTGAATGGATTTTCTAAAAAATGTCAGAAATCTCACCTCTCCTAATATCCAAGTCAAAGAGGCCAAGATATTTTTTCCTTTAATTTAAAAAACTTGTTTGAACAAAATATACAAAATGTCACATTTAAACAATGTCTTCATTGTATTTCCCCAAAAGAACCATCAGAAGATCTAGTACTGAGACCACCCAGATCTTTTATCGGCTATTTCCTATGCAGATCAGATCAGCAACATTTTCTGCTCATTTATTCGGTTGTAAAAGATCCACCGTACCTTGAATGGTCTTGAAAATGTTGGGCTCGTAACTGGGATGCCACAAACAACGATGATGCAATTGCCAATAGCTGGTGTGTCTCATTCTCTGTTAACACATGTCCTGAGGGAAATCAATCAATCAATCCATCAACCACATATGTACAACGTTAACAGTTGTGCCTCCATCTTAGAGAATTAGTAGCCATTCAAATGAGTATTTTATCAGGCATCTATTATGGTTTAGTAAAGTACAAGGTGCAGGAGTCAGGGTGCAAGATTGTTCAGTAAGACAAAAAGCCCTGCTGGAAGTTTACTGTCACATTTGGGAAAGGAGATCTTAAATAGACTCACAGAACAAAACAACTGTAAATACGCCATGCCCACAGAGATCTCCAGGAAAAGCTTAAGCTCCTCGCATCTGCTGCTTTCTCACTGCCACCCACAATTTTACTTCTAAGGAAATGGAGACTAGAAGAGGAGTGATGCTGGTCAAGGACAAGGGCAGGTTCACGTTTTTTAGTGCAAAGGATTCAAAGAAAATAAAGGTGTGATTCTCTTGCCTGTGTGTGTGAACTCGGGGCCTGGGGCCTCTTCCACCCATTGATCAGTGAATTTCTCTCTCCCTCACTCTCTCTTCCCACCATAAGTTAGCTGACCCAAGGGGCAGTGGTCTAGCCTGGGAAGGCCTGGGGAGGACCACTGGTGTGGCTGAGAGCTGCGCAGCAGGGAAACCTCCTCCACGCACAGAGTTCCTCAAGAAGTGCAGTGGGGGGGGGGGGGAGTCTCCCCCTCCAGGGCCTGAAGGCTAAGACATCCCACAAGAGCTGTGCGACCACAGAACTTCTAAAGCTATTTATCACAGGACTGTCTGCAATAGTAGAGCATTAAACAGCACAGCAGGAGCAACCTGAGTGCTGGACCATCAGCAGTAAGATGTGTTTATACAATTCTGAATTTATTTGAAAGAAATAATCTGAATATTATGTCTAAAATCACGCTAAATAGAAATGAAACTAAAAATATCCAAAATTAAAATATAAATACTTTCAAGATCTGCAGCTCATTTTTCTATAGGAAGGTGTTTCATGAAATTGAAGGGTCAGGAAAGCCCAAGAAATCTATTCCCCTTCAAGACAAACCCGGAAGCTATGTAACCCTAATACAAATGTGGTTCTGGGAATTCAACCACAGACCTCCATGGGAGCTTCTAGGTTTTGGAAAGTTCCTGGTCATCCCCTGACATTGGAACAGTGATGGAACCATCCCATGTAACTTCATAATTAATTATCCTATAAGAAAGTGTTATAGAAATTTGTCCCCACTCTTCTCAAAATGAGCAGTGTAGGAGCCATTCAGGGTCCTGCAAAGTTAAAATATTTTTCATAGTCCTAAGATTGATTTTCCTTTTTAAAACAAACAAAAAAAAAATCTCTCATTCTATCAGGAGTCCCTCGATCTGCAGAGGTTCCTAGTTCTGAGGGATACATACACAACATGTGATAACATCATTGCTCTTATGTCAAAGCAAAATGGATTTATTATCATGAACTTTAAAATGAATTAATAAAATTTTTACTTTTTAAATTTTCTAGTATTAGGGATTAAACACAGGGGCATTTTGTTACTGAGCCACATCCCAATTTTTTAAATTTTGAGACAGGGTCTCGCTAAGTTGCTGAGGCTGGCCTTGAACTTGTGATTCTCCTGCCTTGGCCTCTCATTGGGATTACAGGCATGCACCACCACACCCAGCTAAAAAATAAATTAGTAAAGTTTTTTAAATTTCTCCAGTTTTAATTTATAATGTGGCAAAATCACCATGCCTTTTGGAGTATAAAGAGGATCAGTTCTTCTCAAATGTCACTGGGCATTTGAATCACTTGGATTAAATGAGCCTCCATTCCTGCATTCCACCCGCAGCATGTGACCCGTAGAAAGCATGGGGAGAGGTTGGGTAATCTGCATTTATAATAAGCTCTAAGGGCAAGAGATGTCATACCTTCAAACAGAACTGCTTTGGGTCATATTTATCAACTTGCATAAAGAAATCAGTCCATGAAATCAGCCTAGGTGCCCTTCAACAGATGAACAGATAAAGAAAATGTGGTACACACACACAATGGAATATTACTCAGCCATAAAGAAAAATGAAATTATGGCATTTGCCAGTAAATGGATGGAAATGGAGACTATTATCTAAGTGAAATAAGTCAATCCCAAAAAAACAAAGGTCAAATGTTCTCTCTGATATATGGATGCTAACACACAATAAGGGGTGGGAGGGAGGATAGACAAAAGGGAATGAAGGGAAGGGAGGGGGATGGGAACAGGAAAGACAGTAGAATGAATTGGACATAACTTTCCTGTGTTCATATATGAATACACAAACAGTGTACTCCACATCATGTACAACCACAAGAATGGGAAGCTATACTCCATGAATATATGATATGTCAAAATACATTCTACTGTCACATATAACTATAAAGAACAAAGGGAAAAAAGGAATCAGTCCATAAACCCAATTTAGTGAGACATGCTCAGCAAAACCAATTATCAAAACACTTTGAACACAGTATTTTTCATGACAATTGTGTGTAATTATGTGTAATTATGTGTGTGTGTGTGTGTGTGTGTGAAATGCATTTCCTCTAGTGGTTCACAGAAGACTTGACAAGCCCCTTCTTCAGACACGCATGCATCCTACATATCATCGGGAATGGAAAGGCAACACATTCTGGGACCCCTTTAATGGCAAGACATTCATTACTATTTTACTTGGTCTGATCACCTGCTGGTGTGCCAACTCAGGCCATATGGAGAAAGGAAGTACCCAAATTGAACGCACCATCTTTCATCACATCTCAGACAAACTGATATGCTCCACATCAACTTCCGCCCTTTTGTTGATAGCCCACTTTGAAAGGTATTCAGGTCCATGTGTAGGACTTGATCATAACTGACCCATTCCACCAGCCGTTCTAGCATAAAGCTATTCCTCCTCATAACCAGAGTGGCTTTATCTCCTGCAAGTTCCCCTGTGGCCTGATACCCATACAGCCTCCCTGCCCTGGCTCGACCCTGGACTCTCCTTGAATGCTCCCCGCTGTTGGTCCTCTGGTGACAGAATGCTGGTTTCCATTCTTCGCTCCAGGCTGACAGGCCAGACAAAGGTCCCTTCTCTTTTCTGAACAGGATCTCATCCACAGCCGCCTGCACAGCTGCCCTGGGGGAGCTGAGAATGCACACAGCCTGCCAGCCTGCAGGAAGGCAGATCCCCAGAGGGCAGCCAGCGCTTCTGCTTGCTGACAAGTCCTACCTGCCCAGAACTCTGCCTGGGACACACTCACGTATTCAGATGCTTTGGGATTCGTCCATCCGTTTCCACAGTGGGAACATAAAGTGATAATGATCAACTCTTTCTCCCTTGCCAGTTTAGGATTCAACTTTCCTATATTGCAAAGTCAGTAAAAATTATCTTTTACCTTTTCCTTTTCTAAAATGCAATTCACTCTCTTTCCCTTGAGGGCCCATGTCTTCAAAAACTTCAGTTTAGTGGGGTTTGGAGCGGGAGTGCATAGGCATATTTAAGCAATCACATTTACTTCAAAATTAGTTGGAGTACTTTCTTCAGCAGTTTCCTCAAAATAAATACACATACTGAGACATTTCTCTATTTATTTGAAAACACCTTTTTAAAACACTGACACAAATGTATGAAAGATGATATATCATGAGCTTTGTAATGTTTTGAACAACCAATAAAAAAAAAATAAAACACTGACAAATGCAGGCTGTCTTGATTGAGCACGGTCCTCTGGAACCAATTTCTTTCCTATGCAACAGATCTTGCCTTTAGGTTCTCCACCTTCTGGTTTATGGAGTCTGAAGAAGATCTCAGTAAACATTCTTGGCATATCTTTTTTTCTTTTGTTCTTATTTCTTTTTTTCTTTGTGGTGCTGGGGATCAAACCCAGGGTCTTATTCGAGGTAAGCACTCTACCAACTGAGCTATATCCCCAGCCCACATTCTTTATTTTTTCTTTCTTCCTTTCTAGAAGCCTTACACAGTTTTTTCATTAATCCTATCTGAAATCTGGTGGATCTTTCCAAACCCCAAGGCTTCTAAAGAAGAGTGAAACCAAGACTCCCCTACAACTTATTTCATCCTTGTTTTGTCCATTTTTCTTTCCATTAAACTCCCATGATATATATTCATTTACATGCAAAATCTTGTGGATCTTCCCTCCACATTTCTTACTGGCTGAATGGTTTTATTTTCTTTACCTTTTTGCTAAATATTTTGGGACACTTCGTTCAGTTATTGCCTTGGGTCACTCGGTTCTTAGCAGTGACCTTCAGACACTTGGACTGCTGAAATGTCTTGGCTCATCAAGCCTTCTCTAATTTAACCCCTCTCTGCTCTGTCCGTTTTCAGTGAGTGCAGGCATCTGCATCTGTGCTTCGTCCTCGGGGACCCGCTGAGGTCTCCGTCTCAGATGGGTGACCCTCTTCCTCTTCACGCTAGTGGCCCTCATGTCAAAGGGTTAGGCAGTGGTTTGCTGGGAAGTGTTTTAACAACCCACTGGGTGTGGGGGAAGGAGAAAAGCCCGAATGTGTAGCATTTGCTAATTTCCTTTTGTATTTTTCACACACAAAAATACATATATATATAAAATTATGACAATTTCTTTTGATGGGGCTTCAGGTCAAAATACAGCAAGGCAATAGGGAAATAAGTTCAAAGAGTTTATTACATTCCAATTGAAATTATGATTCTTAAAATATTTTCTTCTTTATTTCCTCTTGATTTCAGAACCAAAATATCTTATTCTTCATTTTCCTTATCTTTAGAATCAAAGTAAAAGGAAATGACTGAATTCATGTTTTCTCCCCTCTTATTGCTTTTTAGGGATTTATTTGAGCAAATGGAAACATCAGAATATAAAGAGTGGACCAGAATAGTTTCTTGTGTATGCTTTATTTTAATTTTGGACACAATAATTTCCAAGTGCAAATTTAAGAAAATTCAGTAAAACTATCTTAGTCCACAACAGATCTGGGGAGGTAAGCTCATATAATAGAAAATTTTAATGCAGTCATAAAGACAGACACTGTCTATGAGCAGCGCCCAGGAGAGCAGGACAGATGGGAAGCAGATGGGTAAGCCCAAAGGGACAAAGTGACCCTGCCTCAAGCATGTTGAGAGGGTCCTGGACTAACTTCAGTTGCCACTTCCTGCTGTCTCTTTCGGGCACATGTATCAAACAGTCAAAGACGATAGTTTAATTTATCTAAGACTTGCTCTGGGTTAACATAGGAAGGAAAGAGCGAGCACTAGGAGACGGTGGCCATTCAGAGAGGAACAAACTGACCACAAACCGTAGGCGGGAGTGAAACAGGAGGCATTAGGAACGGCAGACACAGGTGTGCATGCTGCGAGTCCTCGGCGGCAAGACGACACGCAGTGGGCCCAACCGAAACGTCTGGTGATTTATGAATCTGAAGCCCAGCACACGGAAAGAGCCCTCACGCTGGATTCGGCTGGGATGTGGCTCAGTGGTGGAGGGTAGCAAGCTCAAGGCCCTGGGTTAACCCAGCACTGGAGGATGAACAAATCAGGGAGGAGAAGGGAGAGGGAGCAGGGGAGACAGAGGAAGAGAGGGAGGGAGAAAGAAAAAGAAAAAGAAAGAAAATCCTAGGATCTGTTCCTGGCTTCCTTATTTTACTGGTCATTTAGCCTCATCAATTGCTTTGAGTTTTTGTTTCCTTGTATGGACCATTTTTTTCTATTACTTGGAAACACTCACTGACAACTGTCCAGTGCTAAACATCATATTCCACTCATTTCTTTATTGAAAACTTCATTTTCAGACTAAAAACCATCGTCTTCTTACACATTGTCTTTTTTTTTTTTTTTTGTACAAAGGTTTGAACCCAGGGGTGTTTTACTACTGAACCACATCCCAGCCCACTTTATTTTTTATTTTGAGACAGGGTCTCACTAGGTTTCTTAGAGCCTCACTAAGTTGCTGAGGTGGGATTTGAACCTATAATACTCCTGACTAAGCCTCCGAGCTGCTGGGATAATAGGCAGGTGCCACCATGCCCAGCCGACATCATCATTTTTATCAACTAGGACAAGCATCTGGATTTCTGAAAATGTCAATGCTGTTTTTCATAAGGATATACAGAGTCACTAAAAAAGGGTTCCTATATATACCTATATCAGAAAGTCAGGTAGGACAATGATCTATTAACATTCTCTGCCCACAGGCTAAACTCACAGAACATTTCACATGGTTTCATTCTTCACTCAATAAAACTGCAGATTCGTATATTCAAGAGTCACACATGAACACTTAAAATCATGAATGTCACTAGTCTAGGATATTGCAAATATGTTAATAAATCAAGTATAATATAAGTCAAAGGCCAAAATTTCAAAATGGAAAAATTGTGTGTGACAATAAAGCATGAAAATAATGACTTTAAGTAACAAAATAACTTTGAGTAACTAAAATATTTCAATCATACAAACCTTTAAAGCCATCAGGATATACATCCGACAGAAATTTAGTACTGATGTCTCCTTTTACAAAGCGTGAATTGATTATCACCTCTCGAAGTAATGCGATATTATGTGTAACACCTAAAAATAAAATGACATAGGTTAAATTGGGGAACAATGAGTCAGCTAAAAACCTAATTCTTGTAACTTGAAGAAATTTATCATCAGTGTCCAATGGCCTAGGGAGAACACTCAAGAGTACTTTTCCCTTTGACTCTCAAATAACAGCAAACCCCTGAACATGAAGTAGCACTAAAACACCCACATCCACTGTAAACTTCAACAGCTTGCTACCATCGATTCAATTGGGAAATAATGTCTTTCCAATAAATAGCACTAGAACAACTAGATATTCTCGGGAAGACGGGGAGGGAAAGAAATTGAACCTCACTCCAATTCACATCAGAGACAAAAATCAACTCAAAATGGATCACAAACCTAAATGTGTCTTAAAAGTCTAAAAACTATTTTAAGATTTTAAAAGAAACAAAATTTTTGTTACTTTGGGGTAGGAAGCAGATTCATAGTGCACAAAAAAAATGAACCATAAAAATATCAACAAATTGTATTTCATCTAAATGTAAAGTCTGTTGGGCACATAGGTATAAACCTGTAATCCCAGCAACTCAGGAGGATGTGGCAGGAGGATTACAAGTTTGAAGCCAGCCTTAGCAACTTAGTGAGACCCTATCTCAAAATAAAAAATAAAAAGGGCTGGGGATGCGGTCCAGTGGTAAAGAGTCCCAGGTTCAATCCCCAGTACCAAAAAACAAATAAATAAAAATAAAATAAATTTAAAGTCTGTTCTTCAAAAGATAGTTTAGCACATGTGAGACACTGGGTTTGATCCTCAGTACCACATTAAAAAATAATAATAAATAAATAAAATAAAGGTACTGTGTCCATCTACAACTAAAAAATAAAACATTAAAAAAGATAGTTTAAAAAGTGAGCTGCAAATCACAGACTGAGAAAAAATATTTACAACACCATATGTCAGACAAGAAACATGGAATATTTTTTTTAAAAAAAAACATTTTTGCAATACATCTTATAAGACAACAAACAAACCAAGCTTAAAAAGAAAAAAAACGGGCAAAAGATCTAAACAGACAGTTTGCAAAATGTCCAATAAGCACAGAAAAATGTACAGCATCATTACTGTCAAAAATAAGAGATGCCACTACACACCAGTTCACATGGCTAAAAATTAAACCATGGCTGCTGGTGAGGACAGGGAACAATCCGGACGGCCCCACCTGGAGGTGGCAGTATAAAATGGTCCACCTATTTTGAAATAGTTTGGCAGTTTCTGAAAAAGCTAAACACATCCTCATCTCATGATTTGGACAATTCACTCCTAAATATTTTCAAGTTCAATAAAAATATGTCCATGCAAAGACTTATACACAAAGGTTAATATCAGCTTTACTTGTAATAATCAAAACTTGGAAAAAATCTAAATGTCCATCAACAAATAAATGAATGGATTAATATAATGTGGTTTTTCCAAACAGTGGAATTCTATTCAGCAGTAAAAAGAGACGAGTCATCAACATACAAAATAACAAGGATGAATTTCAGAATAATTATACCCAATTCAAGAGGCAAGACCAACAATAATGCATACAGTATAAATTACTAAGAACAGATTTGAGAAAATGCAAAACAAACTATAGCAACAGGAAGCAGATCATGTGGTCACAACAGAACGGGGACATGGATTACCCAGACCCTGAGGAAGCCTCTGGAGGTGACAGAAACGTTCAGCATCTAGTCATGATGGTTTCATGGCTGTACATGTCTGTGTCAGTGATCATCAAACTGAACACTTTACATGTTAGAAGTTCATTCTATGTCAAATGTACTTCAATGAGTGTGTGGAGAGTGAGACCACAGATGTGTGCTCAGCAGAAAAAAAACTGAGCCTAGCAGATAATGACTATTTCAAAGTAAAGTTAAACTAGGTAACTGCTGCGAGAGAAATACAAACGGTGCGTGGGAGAGTCCTGACACAGAAGGGTTTATGAAGAAGAGCCTGGGTCATCTTGATTACAGGGCCTTAAAAGTAGCTCACAAAGTCTAAAACCCTCAGTCCATGGCCAAGGAAGCCCACATCTGTTCCTGGGTCTTAACAGTGTTGATCTTCAGTCAGCATTTATTCCTCACCTATCGTTCACCTGGCAATCAGATCCCACAGGAAGGAAGCTAAGAGCACACCTGATTTGGAAACTTCCATTAACCAGTTATGGAATGAGAGAACCACAAAGAAACGCGAGGTGCCTCAAAGTGAGAAAACTGTGGTCCTGGGAGGCTGGATAATGTAAAGTTCAACAATTACAAACTACAATGGCAACAAATGGTAGCACTAGTTTTCTCCAAGGAGAAGAAATATGGGTAGGGGAATGAGGTAGGAAGGGCAGCTTCCTCTTCACTGCATCGTTGGCACCGTCTGAATTTTGCATCGTGAATGCAACAGATTTTTTAAAATTATAATAACAGTATGTGTAGAAGTTTTTGAAAATATAGAAGCATGTTAAGATACACTGCTAGCTCCCCTAAAACCTTTTTCCTGTTCCCACAGAAATCAAGATTTACATGAGTAAGACACCCAGACACAGCCTGTATCTCCCCACCTAGCTGCAGCCAGGCTGAAACTAACTCCCAGACACGGGAACATGAGCTAAAGCGAGCGCTCCTTACATGCTGTACTTGCTTATAAAACAAAGCGCTTGCTAGACTTCTTCTCATTCCCTCTTCCTGTGAGATTCCTCGTGTGGTGGGAACTCAGCTTTGTCAAGGGGAATGAAACACAGCCACAAGGTGGGGGGTGTCTTTGAAAGACCTCATGAAGCTGACCCGCCCCACTAGCTCGGACTGGAAGACTATTGCATGAAAGCTAATACATTTCTATCTTAATTTACACCAATGTATTTAGAAATCTTTATCACAGCAGATTACCCGGTGCCCTAATGCATGTACATGGGGGAGAAGAGAGTATATTTTTCTACGACTTCCCATCTTTAAGCTTACCAATATTAGCAGCTTACTACAACCTTACAGGCATTTTTCTATGCATCTCTTTATATTAGATCATATGAGCAACTATATGAAAAATTCTGAGCATCTGTTCCTGCTCAGAAGATGTGCTGTGTTCTTATTTTATAAAAGCCAATTCCCAAACTATCCAAACTACCCTAAAACATTTAGAGAAAGTTCTAGAACTCAAATATTAATGGTATTCCTTCAGCTATACAAATACGTCATCTTTGTTTTCCTCCTCCTCCTCCTCTCTGACCTTCTCCTCATCTTCCTTGCCCTCCTACCATGTAAGACACTACCACACACAGATGATGGTCCTAATAAGTACCTTTTCTAGCACACACCCAGGAGAAATGCACTGCTCTCCAGCCTTGCTCTGTGGGCAATGCCAGCTCACACACAATAGCTACTATTTCTAACAACTTTCCCTCTTGTTAATGGGGAAAGGATACACAAAAATTATTACATGCCTGAGACATAGGCGTTATCAGACTCCTCTAAGAGCTTTCATAAATAAATGTTTTTATAATGAATGTATTAGAAGATATAGGAAATTTCTGATGACACAAACATACCTAAAGAATCATTGAAAAAACGTTACATTTCAGCATTTACATCAGTAAAAATGAAGCTCAGCTGAAGCAGTGTGCTTAGAAAGACAAACTAGGGAGGTGAGAATTCTTGAATGATGTCAGGCCATCAAAGGGCAATTGATCCATTGACCAAAACCAAAGAACTTCTGAAGAAGAAAAGGGATCTCACTTGGCGGAGCGGTCCCTATGCACAGGAACCACAGCTGCAGAGTTCCAGAGGAGGAACACATTTGTGACTTAATACATTTTTCTGGCTGGGAAAGAAAACAAAAAGATACAGAAGGACACCTAGGGTGGTTGAGATCTGGATGCCATCAGGGAGAAACCTGGGTGCTTTAGGGATCTTTCACTGCTGTAAAAAGCAAATGGTCACCACCAGTTATTTCTGTGGGGAAAACCAAAAGAAAGACAGCCTTGCCCAAGAGTAGGAGAGAAGAGAGCCAGAGGGGCTAACAGGGCCAATGGGGCACTCAGGGTCTGGCAGGACCAGGCAAAGATGTCACTGTCCCTTCTAAGCAAAGAGGATGGCTGAGGCTGGAGGGAGAGGACCTTGTTTATACAGCCCAGGGCCACTTAGGCTGTGAGATGGAAAAGGGACTGCAAAGGGCAGGAATGAAGATGGGAAAATGGATCAGCTCTCAGCCACACAGTGAAGAATGGGCAGGCTGTGGTCCACAGCTAGGGTGTGGACAGCGCCAACAAAGAAAAAGAGCAGGACCAGAGAGAGATACAGGAGGCAGACAGGGCAGAGTGACTTCACTGGGGTTGACAATGGGAAGATGAACTGAGCACAACACTCAACGTTTGTTCGGCAGTAGGACAGAAGATGCCATGTGCAGACAAGGGCTGAGCCGACAGGAGACAACTCCACTCATCATGGGCAAGATGGACTTGCAGTGCCTGTGAGATGACCACTTGATGTCCGACAGCGAGCAGAGGCGCAGGCAGAAGGCAGGCCCCTCGAGGCACACAGCCGTCCATGTGAGGCACTGCCCAGAAGAGCAGTGCAGAATGAAGCCAGCACTATGCAAACCTTTCATGTATCCCAATACCAGGAGTTTTAGAGGAAAACAGGGCCCCAAAGGAGGGACTGGGAAGGATGAAAGTTGAAATACCAAGGATCAGGAGCAATTTAATTTCCCAAAAAAGACGGTTCTTAGGTACAAATGAACAATTCAGAGTATTTCAACTTACAAGCTTTTTTACAGAATGGAACTTATAAGCAAGGCATTTTAACTCTCAGGATTTTTGTTCTTCCCTCTCCCAATATAAAAATAATACTGCTGTCTTATGCATTTACTATTTCGTACTTAACTTCACTGGCTTTTCTTTTACAGCTTTGTGCAGGTATAAATTTTCTAGCTCTGTATGTGGCCAATGCCATTACAGCTGGAACCAGACCCTCCCTTCAGTAAAAGACAACACAACTTTCAGAAATAGTTAATA